CGGGCACCGACGCCCTTCTTCAGGCATAGGGAGAGGCACCTGCAATGCCTGATGAAGGGCGTTTGTGCCCGAAAGCTTGCAATGAAAGACTTTTTTGGGGTTTTTTTGCAAAAATCTTGTTGGTCTAATAAAATAAATCGTCTCCACTAGTACGAGTCCGGATCACCTTTTCCTTTAGACCAATACGGCTACAACCTGGATGCCCGACACCTGGAAGAGATCGAATTTTAGCTGGTTTTTAAAAATGAAATCTTCATATTTTCCCAAGTGGGAAGCAACCGTGACCACCTGAAACCTGAGATCCTGCCTTTGTTTCAAGGCAATCTGCATCAAGGCAGGTCCTCACGGGAGGTGAGAGGCTCCACACCGGCCAATAAGTTGGTCTAATAAAAGATCAGATTCAACCAAAAAGCCTTGTCTGTCCAGACCAGCGATGAACTGCCTGCCCAGAGGAGTTGTCCATCTATTGGCTCCTCTGTGAACGCCTATGAAATATGAACTTTAATTTCTACTCGAGGACTTTTACAATCTTTTCTCCCATGCCCGGTGAAGGGTGTTTGTGCCCGAAAGCTTGCAATTAAAGAAACTTTTTTGCAAAAATCCTGTTCGTCTAATAAAAGATATCACCTCTACTATGAGTCCCAATTGCCTGAAGAAGGGCATTTGTGCCCAAAACCTTGCAAAGAACAACTATTTAGCTGGTTGAATATAAGATGACACATTTACCCAAAGCACCTGGTCTGCCTCTGAGTGGACGAACGTGAATAAAACATTCTCTGCAAGCAGCAGAGCAATTGTTCACAGGGAAAACTAAAGTCAAGATGGTGCTTGTGAATATTTAGTGAGGTTTTTTCCCCGCTTTTGAAGAAAGTCTACTCATCTCCACCCTCTGCTGTCACCGCACTGATTATCTAATCCTCCCCTCTGCTTTATGAATCCACATGGAGATGGAAAGGAGAAGGCTGCACTTCTGGAAAGGCGAGCAGCCCCCTCCTTTCCATCTCTATGTGGTTTCATGCCCCTCCATTCCCCACCTTGACTGCTAGGCTGGTGCAAAGTACTGGCCCAGACTTCTCCAGTCTAACGCATAAAAACGAGGAGCGGATAGTAACCGTTTGCACTTCTACAGCAGCCCTTATCTGAGATCTCAGAGGTTTACCCAGCTGATCAGCACAGATATTCCAGTCCCCTATGAAGCCACAGGTGCTGCAAAAGGGCTGCCCAGGGAAGCTGTGGGGGCGCAGGGTGCAGCCGGGTTGGTCTAAGGATGCGGGCAGAGGACGGTCTTTGGGTGAATCCGATCTCTTTGATTAGAGCCACTCGAATCCTTGGAAAAAGTCTCACTAGCAAGCTATTGGGTTTAAACCCGACAGCTTGCTAAGAAGAATTTTTCCAAGGATTGGAGCGGGTCTAATCAAAGTGATCGGATTCAAGCAAAGCCCCTCGTCTGCCAGGGAAGCGGGGGACTCCCCATGACTGGAGGTGTTCAAGAAGAGGGGGGGCAGCCACTGGCCAGGGGTGATGGACGGGCACCGGACCCCAGTTCTCTTTCCTGCCTGGTGCAGGCGCCTGGACCCGCTGATCTTCCCACATCCCTTCCGGCCCCGCAATCTGTGGCTCTCCGGTTGCACTAGGGGCACTTCCCGGGCTGCTTTGCTGATTGCACCTGCGCCCCCTTCCCGGACGCAAGACCCAAGAGCCTCCCGCAACTCGCCGGCTCCGCTCCCTGCCCAGAACCAAGCACTTTACTTCCGGGGCGGGACCGCGCTGTCCGCAAGCTCCGCCCCCTCTCACGTGACCCGCCCGACATCGCTCCGCCCCCTTCCGGGTCAAGATGGCTCCGCCCCTCGTCGGGCAGGGGGCGGGGCTTGGCGGTGTTTGTTCCGGGCGCAGCATGTCGGGGCCCAACGGGGAGCCGCACGTGGCGGGCGGCGCGGGGCCGGGTGAGGACGGCGGCGAGGACAGTTTCGGGGAGGAAGGTGAGCTGTGCCCGGGCAGGAGCCGGCTCTGCTTGGCCCGAGGCAAAACGGCCACGCAGTGCGCCCGCCTCCCTGCAGCTCGGCCCCGCCGTGGAGACCGGGGTTTGCAGCTCTCTGCTCCGGGGGTTAGGGCCAGGCCTCGGTTGTGGGAAGGGCTGTGCCTCCCCGTCCCTCTGCTGCGGAGAGAGGCGAGGGCGAGCTCTGCCTGGGCCAGCGGTGCAAGGTCTGGGATGCCGAGCGCTCGTCCTCGGGGCTCTCTTTGTAGTGCCTTGCACTGGGGAGCGTGTCTAATCTTACCCACCTACATCCTTGGCCCAATCAAACCCTCGCCTCTGGACCGTCAGGGCTGCATCACTGTTGTGCTACCATATAAGCAAGTGGAAATTTCTTCCTCCTCCTTTGTCAGGCTGAAATAGCTTGTTCAGAAGGAATTGCAATTAAAGGCATTTTTTTTTTGCAAAAATCTTGTTGGTCTAATAAATCATCTCTACTACGAATCCTGATTGCCTTGTTCAGAACACACCCCAGTCTGTACTGGGTTTGCCTCTGCATGCCTCCCCGCTGCTCCGGGACATGTCCTCTTTGCTGCTCCAGCTGAGAAAACTAGACCCCTGCCAGTGGGATGCAGGCTGTGGCACCCCTCAATGCTCCTTTCAGTTTTTTCAGCTGTGCAGCAGCCAGGGAATCAACAGTTGTTCACCTTCAGCGCCTGCTCTTGCTTGCTTGGTAGACCTGTAGGATCTCAGAGAGTTTGGACTTTTCTATAGCTCCTTCCTAAGATCTCTTGAAGCTTTCTGTATCTGTATAGTTCTAGGTCTTGTCAAGGCATTTGTTCCAAAGTATATCATTGCCAGTGGAGACTCAGTAGATGACTTCATAGTCCTGTTAAATCTTAGTTTTTTTGTGTGTTGGCTCTCCAGAAACAACACACGGTCCTGTTGTCCCTTGCTGACAGCTTGGTATGCTCTTCTGTAGTGGAGTTGCCAGTGGCTACTGTCTGCATTAATTGGTTGGGTGGCTGAACCTCCCCTGGTACAGCTTGTGTCATACCAGAAGGATGCTCCTCTGGTATATTCCCCTTGTGGCTTCATGTTGTATTTCTGCAGACATTCAGCAGCTGATTTGCTGAGTGTCTGATAACACCTGTGAT